CGAAGTAAGGAATGGGCGGTATTTTAAGTTTACTTCAATGTGCTTTTCCTTCATTTGAATAATTATATTTTTTCTTTTCTTAGAACATTACAGTTAGTCGAGTTAAGAAAGACCGTGTTTGCCAAATCACCCCACTGCCAGAGGACCTACCCAGACCTGACATGTTGTCTAAAGGACTGCAGACAGTAAGTCGTTCGTAGCAAAAATGCTTTTCTTTTTCTTCCTCTTTGTGATTTACTGATCGTTAACACGCAAACATTTTGCTATCAAAATAAGTGTAACGTATTTTAATGTATTTTAAAAACGTGGAAAAAAATCGCGCTTACATTTATAATCGGGAGGTTTTTCTTGCCCCAAATAGCAAAAATGTTCAGTAGTCTCATTGAATGACCGCCAACATACCATGTAGTTTTATCAGTGGGAGCAAAGTTGTCCCATTCGATGTAAGTCGTGGAGAAATCGGCGAGCGCTCGTTAAAAACCTAACGTAGAAAAAAATTGCACTTGCATTTTATAACCGTGCCGACCGAGGCCTGGGCACGGTTAAAAAAAAGTACACATTTATTTAGTTGTATATAATGACGCGATATAACACACTGAATCGCCTATTATGAGAGCTGATAGACGAGGCAGTATTCGTCCGATKCCACAGGCCCGGAATACTCTAATTGAAATTGTTAAATATCCATCAAACTATAGAGCAAATTTGAAAATAGACTATTGACTGAGAACAAATTTATTTTTTTTCGACTATTTTTGCTTCATTCGAATATCATGAATAGATCATAGTTCAGTAGCCAATCAAAATGTTGGATTGGTGATAGCCAATAGTTTGGTGGATACTAGACTGGTATAGGATTGTCTCCTCTCGCAGCAGAGACCTGGAAACGAGCCTYATAGCGGCTGCGAGAGGAGACTAGGGATAGGAAGTAAGCAAACCATTCATACRTTTTAATCATCGATCTATCGTGTTTCATACTTTTAGCTGTACGGAACGCCTCCTTCTCACAACATCAGAAAGATCTCAAGACAGTGGACCATCGGWCCAATAGTCGACAAGTCCACTTTGAGAAAGGAAGTACGAGACTTCTGTGGCCAGTTCCCAGTCTACCGCCTGGAACCGTTCACTCCTGATTCGGTATCTTATGGAAAAACTGGTAAGCCTAAATATTATTATTTTTTTATTATTAGACTAATACTTTAGTCCCAATCGTTCGGACATTTTGCCCTCCTTGCATACTTATTACCGTAAGCTTATTAGTGGCGGTTCCAGAACTTTGGATAACCCAAAAAAAAGAAAAAACTAGTACTAAATAGTCATTTAGAGCTGTGGAACTTGTGGAAAACGAAATTCCACTTGTGTCACCAAGTGCACATATCTTTAGTATTACCATACTAGTGGACTATTGCAAATCATTCGTTCTAACTGCTACTCGACGTCTATTCTCAATAGTCTTCGACAGAAAAAGCGCCAATTTTGATTTTCTAGTTCTTTTAAGAAATATTGTGGGTCAAATTGATGTGTTATGTTCATTCAAGCTTTCACCAGCGTGTAGTAAATTAATTTTCATTTGTCAAACATTCCAAACCTGTCAAACGATGTCGGCGATGCAAATTTAATTGAAACCGTAAGCGCGATTTTTTTAGCAATAAAAAAGTATGGGTCTAGTATGGTAATACTAAAACAACTCGACGTTTCAGCCTCGTTGGCTATTTAACAATTAGATCTCGTGGGCGAGTGGCTATCATCTCGCAGTCCACGAGGCAGAGAGATCTAATTGTTTTAGCATTACCATACTAGTTGGACAAAAAATGAATGAAATATATAATAACTAAATGTTTTTATTGCTAAAAATGCGCAAAAAGTTGTCGCTTTTTGCTAGTCGGGGACTATTGAAAGTAGACTCCGAGTTGCACAGCCAATGAGAGCGAAGGATTTGCAAAAGGTCATTAGTATGGTAACACTAAAAAGAGACAGCCGCAGCCTCATGGGCTATCAGCTCGTAGTCCAATCGCCCTCGGAGTCAAATTGTTAAATATTCTTGAAACCATTTTCATAAACTATTCTCATAAACCATTCTTTTGATCCGTTGTTGTTATTCCCCATAGGTTCATCTTTTTTTTAAGTCGGTTTCCAGCATATAGTACTCTTTAGGCGAATCTTTGTTTACAACATTTTGCTAACTAGTACAACGCGGTTTAAATTACTAAACAAGTAAAATAAGTTTATAACGCAAAAGGGCTTAATATTAATACCTATAAACTACAAACGTTTGACGTATTCACATGCAATAGTTTATGAGATAGTAGCGTTCAAAGATGCTGAGTGGCAAAAGCGCAAATTAGCTCACATAATCTCTCTAAAAATTGGAGTTTTTAAAACCGTTTAACGCAAAAAGTATTCCATATGAGAAGCCCAAAATTGCGAGGAAAGCTTATTGTGCTATGTCGTTTCAATATTCAGTGCTTATTTACTGATAGTTAGGTTAAACGTTGTATGTTTATGCTAATGATATGTTAATGAACCGAAATGTAAACAAATTATTCGCCCATTAATGGTTCCACCAATCAACAAAAGCATTTCAGATCCTTTACTAGTGTTATTATTTCTTATGAGTATTTGCTAATTGTGAAGGGCCTGGTGACCTTCGATTACATTATCAGTACAAACCGCCAATACTTGTTGTTTTTATAGGTAGAGTCAAGCGCGCTCTTGTACTATTGAGTCTTTGCGCAAACAGTAGACCTCCTTCTTGCCATTATGACAAATGGTTGTACAAATGCAAGATAGCTGGAGCACGCAGTGTTTATAGTGTGGTTTGCAAACATGATACCAAAAGAAAAATCTTCAATTGCGGATCACTTACAGCTCACCAATTAGACAGCATAATCTGTTGCAACATCAGCTGCCCATAGCGACATTGGTCACAAGATGTTTGTCTTGCAGACTTGCACTATTGTAGAAATTATTGAATAAAAGTTAAAATCTGGATATTCAATAAAACAGTTCAATGTGTATTAAATGTTCATTATGAGTAAGACTCAGTTACCGTTCAAACACCATTGTTAATATAGGTTTGTTATGCATAGAGTCCATAATTGCACGAACCCTCCAACCGCCCCAAAACCCTTCTTGCTCGATTGTTAAGACATTAGAGATAAACCCTTCTTGCTCGGTTGTTAAGACATTAGAGATGTGGAAAAAAACGTTGCACACAATTTCGATTTGCATGTGTCCTCTCACTGCACTAATTCGTGGGACCATTTGAGTTTTGAACATAAATAACTGTCACCGTTACTGCTGTTGATTTATTTTTACAAATAAACATTATTCTAATAACACTTCTTTGGTTTTCATCAAAGATAAAAATTTTTTAATCGGGGTAAAATTTTGCTAKTGTTCAGCTACAGGAGTCTATCCTGGGATGTACATCTGGCCTTGCGYATATAGGTCCTATTTACATATTGTACATAAGACAATCATGCAAGAAGGGTGTCCCAAATCTATTGTTTTTCGAGRTTGTGGTATCATATTTGGCAGGGTCAGCCTCGTTGTAGGGTAGCTCTATAACTAGGTAGGGTGATACACCTAGGAGGGTAAGGTCTTGTTTGTTAAGTAAACGCTTAAATAGGGTGACTCCAGGGGGAGGTGGAGATATCATTTTTGACAATTGGCCAAAGCACAAAAAAAAACTAACATCAACCAGGTACCACAACAAGAAAGGAATCTGATTTGTCCGAAAAAAAAAGAACCATTTAGCTATTTTGTTTTTTAGAAGCTTGGCGAATATTATTATGCTAACCCTAGTCCCGGTATGACCCCTGCTTGTCAGGTTTACATGTAAAGGTATGGCTGGGTAGGGTGATATTATCTCTTTGTAGACAATGTAGCCTTAATACGCTAAAGAATCCTGATTTGATGTTCACTTTACTGATCGATGCTGATCAATGTCTTACATTAGACAAACATCGTACATTACTAGAGTCAATTTCMTATGAGTGGAAACGTACGGTAGAAATTACCGCACGGTTACCGCACAGTTACCGGACTTGGCCTRCACAATTTTTGTGARCCAATGGGGCACTAGAATTTGGTTACAGTACGATTACGGTCACAGTACRGTACYGTCCGTTTCCCACTCATACGAAAATCCGCTCTATATAACCTGTGGTTATACCACGTACTAAGTTATTAGTTAATAGGCCTTATGCTCCGGTAGGAGTACACAGGATTAAATAAAATATACGATAATAATGTTATACATTTTATAACTATATCAAAGTTTTGAAAATTATAAAATATTTAGTAAATCTATGTCTTTTTGTGCTGCGCAAGGCAGTCAGTTAAATTGTCAATAGTGCTGTTGCATAATGACGTCAAGCGACGATTAAAAAGATGAAACTAGATTCACTTAAATATCATAAACGATAGCCGAGCTAGGTCTGTCCATTCTTCAGAAGTGTTGTGAACTTTGCAGCTTTGTCTTTGTTTCATCATCTTTTTCCCCATAATCCTTTAGATTTGACGTCATTATGTACTACAGTAATTATAGCTATTTCAAAGATGGTCTTCAGGGACGACCGACAGGTACTATGGGTATTGATTATTGCAGRCAATATTTACCTATCAAAGGCAAACTGCTGGTTCAATAATAAACTGTGATGATTGTTTGTTTTGTTCGTGTTTTTATGCATATACGTGAGATTATTTTAATACCMAGAGTACATTTGGGTCACACAGTCGCCCTTCCACTCTTATAGCCTTTACTGATAGAAATGAAAAATCTATATCTGATATCTCGAGTGTCATAAAAATAMCGTGTTATACAATGATTTCAAATATTCCGTCAAATAATCAACGTTTCMCTTGTATTTCATATCATGCACTTAAAATAGTTTTTAGTGAAAATTACATAAATATTTCAGTGATAAGCTTCAAGTCTGTACTGACAACATTTTTTTTTTAAAGATAGAAGTCGACGTTCAGWTTTAAGGACATAAAAACCACAGCAACAATGTCAATAGCATAAAACTGTTTCGTTTGGAGCTTAARACTCCAGATAAATATARCCATTATTCGCATTGTAAAAAAATGTTTGACTATAATCGCATATTTGCGATGCATTTAAATAAAGCGCGACAGTCAATAAATCTTGTTATACGCTGTCTTTTAAAATCTTGCATAGACAGATATTTAGAATTAGATCACAAAACGATCTTGTGCACTGTGACGTCACGTTTGCTTCGACGAAGTGCACCATGGTACTGCTGTAAGACAAAACCAAGGGGACTGATTTCAGTTTGTACTTTCTATCCCATAGTGCATTGCACAACACCACAAGGACCACTGACCTCCTTAAACTGAGCCCGTATCAAACTTGTTTTCATCCGTAAGATGAGARGTGCATTCCTGATTATTTGACCCTGCAATAAGACAAGGCATCAACAATTACTTGCTGATAAGGACTGCATGCTTTGTAACGTGACTAACCTTGACTAACCTGAGTATCAGGCCTTCAAGGGGGCCTGGGGAGGAGAGGAGGGGAAAAAGGAAGGCCTGACACAAAAGKGGTTCTATGTTGTGTCAAACATTCAGAATTCAAATGTTCTTCTGATTGGTCGGTTGAACAATAGAACCTTAAAGCGGAAGTGAAACCCAACCTAAGGCGCGAAGTTGAAGTCACGTTACAGTTTTGTCTTGACAGCTAATACTYTGTTTACTGCTACTCTGTAATTTTCTAAAATCTCAATMGCTTTTAAGAATCAATTATGAACGAAGACGAATGCACGGAAGCTGTTACGGCATCAGTCTCAAGGACGAGCAAGAGTTCAATATGTTTGAAAACACTGTCCTCGACGGCCAACTGGATACGGAGAAAAGTTTATTCAGTTATTTCCAATGGTTTTGAGCAGCCATTGATTGGTATCGACAAGACAGGAGAGGTAAAGAAAATGTTATTAAAGACTATTGTGGTTAGTCCTGGGACTAAAATTCGAAATCAACACTGCCAACCTTGCGCCGGTTTGAATGGGTTTCAATGCCAACGGTGATAATCGAGCCGGGTGACATGATATCGTGACAACCGGAAGCGATTGTCATTGGCTACTATATTAACAAATGCTGTGTGTCTAGTAAGGGGGCGGAATGGCTTAGATTTACTTTCGTGTCAGGCTCTCCCTTTTTTCTTCTCCTTCCATTTTTCCCCTCGAGAGCCTGAAACTATTAGAAAAAATACTAGAATTSATTTCTATAACGTGACCTCAATCGCTGCCAAAACACCTTGAACCACGCTTTCCATTCCTATTTTTCTAATTGTTCTCCTCGCCTTAGCAATTTATCAATTTTGAAGTCTCCATTTTTTGTCGTATTGTAAACAATTATTTCAKAAAACGCTGAATACTGACAATCATGTATATTTCCAATACCGCAATGAATCATGAATTAGTGTTGGCAGTTACACACCCTGCGAACAGAGTGTTATTTATCTTACCTCAGTAAAAACACTTTGTTCGAAGGGTAGTAGTTACATTGGCGTTAAAAAGAAGTTTTAGGTGTGATTCTAGCAGACTCGTGCATTCAAGAACCTGAATGACAAGCTATTGAGTTTWGAATCATGTGCAATTTTGTAACGCAACTAACGTAACAATGCATTGCAATCTTGGAATTCAMTATGCAGTATTAGATATTCAAAARCTCATATATAATTAATGAGTTATTAAGCCAATAAAATCAGCCTATTTGGTCACATACATGGACCTTTATATCTGATAAATATAKTTTATTTCATGGAAAGTGCGACGTACGGGATTTTATTCACGAGTTGTTTGCATCATACAACGAACGAGCGAGTTAGTGTTGCTTA